CGATGGAAAGACTGGCGGTCAGAAACAGTTCATTTAATGGGAACCAGTTTCGTGAGTACTGAAGAGCTCGGGAGAGTTCGAGGGCAGGGACTGATTTCAAGGGGGCTTGACACACAATGTTTAAGAAAGAGGAGCTCCTGAAGGAATGTCGGAAGCGAGGAATGAGAACGGCGAGCGCTGGCAGTCGGTGGACTAGAGTTCTAAGGAGGGAGTGAATAGATGCAACAGTGAAGTCCAGCTGCCGTAAAGACCAGCTCTTTCAGCAGCTCGGGAGCTGAAGGGAAGGCGTGGAGATGGCGAACTGATCACTCATTGACTTCTTTTTTTGTCTGAGGGAGTAAAATTTAATTCTCTGGGGCCAGCGAGTGAGGCAAAACTTAATTCTGTGGGGCCTGCAACACACTCCTTCAGGATTCTCTCTATCTTCTTCCTTTCTTTTTCCCTTTATAGTTTATATATCCCAGCAGAATCTTTCAAGCAGCATAAAAATTACAATGTGATTCATCCCATTTTTCCTTTTTATATAATATTTACTTGTATTTTATGTACATTGGTGTTCTATAGACAGTTGTGAACTGCCATGTGGGTGCTGGGACTTGAACGTGGGTCATTTGATCACCATCCCATCCTAGCAAGGAAGGTACATCAGCCAGCCATAGCCAGACTGCCATTGTTCTTGTTTCTTGACCTCAACAAGTCCCTTGCTCAACTATTAAAAGTGTGCCTTTCTAAACTTTAAATTATTCCCCACACCTTAACCTAACCTAATAACAATCTACATGTCTAAATTCTTTCTAATGGTGGTGGTTGAATCATTAATCTGCTCCAATGCTTGGAAAGTCAATCACTATTATTGTAAGTACCAGTAACACTGCCCGGTGAGGAGCTAGAGAATTTTCATGTAACTCATAGATTATGAGGGGTACTGTAACCATGAGGGCAATAAGCAAACCTATGCTCAACAACAGCAGGAGGTCCTCAGGACATGCAGTCCTTGGGGCTCTGCCTCACCAAGGCTCACTTGAAGAAATTTTACTTCTTCAAGCCATGCTCCATGAGTTCCACAAAGACCCATAATAATATGTAGACAAAACAGTGGCAGTGCACATCGGATTTGGATATGTGGTGTTGATTACAGCGCCTACTGACGACTTTTCCAAGAGAACTTTGAGAACAGATTTGGCACTGGACTGAGGAGTAATTGGGAGGCAAAACAATGAAGGCAGTAGGAACAGGTTTCTGCTTTGGCCAAACGAGGGCAGCTGAGGAGCTTACAAATTGCAGATTTTGGTGAACTGAGCAGAAAGGCACTGAAGATAGCATAGAGCTAATGAGCAAAGTTCAGGAAGCATAAGGGAAGCAGGCCCTGGCAACAAGGGATATGGAGAGACCACCTGGCACAGGAGAAGGGCCATCTCAGAGGAGGCAAAAGTGGTGACTTTATTAGAGACACATACAGAGGG